GTGGTCACGAAGCGTCTGTGCAGATATCATAGGTTCCTCACGGCGTGTCCTCGAATCACGGACGATGTCCACTGCCGTCTGAGGATCCATAAAATCCCAGAGTCCCCTGTTCCCGATAATCACGAACTCGTCTTGATCTGTCAGCTGCCATGTCTGGACGTCTGGACGAGCGTTGACAGCAGGGAGGAGATGATACACCCCAAACGCGTGCGACTCGTCGCAGTCGATCTCGTCGTTGACGAATCCCTTGGGCGAGACCCAGCCCTCGGCCGCGCGGATGCGTGTCGTCTCTACTCGGTCGAACGGGTCGTGTTTACGCGAGAGCTCGCGGGGGGTTCCGTGGCGCGAAATCACAGCCAGCGAAGAACCGACATTGGCAACGTACATGGTCTTGTCCACGAAATAGACCACGCATGCGGCAGCGCTAGCCTTGAGACTCGCCGGGTCAAGTGCAGTCTTGGTTGCAGCGACGGTTGACGCCTGGCTCATTTTGCGCACTGAGCTCGTTGGCGGGAGGAGGTAATCGTATAGCGTCTTGTTCAGCGACAGGAACGTGCGACGTAGTGCATCGGGCGTACTCTCGCCCCGGTCCACCTTGAGCGACCTGAGGAACCCCAGTAACGTTTGGCTAAAGTTCTCATAGAGATACTTGGCCAGCCGATTGCTATTTACCACGGGGGCGGCGCGTCCGAAGATCCCGAACAAGCACTCGTTTTCGCGGCCACGGAAGTGGGGAACGGCAAGATCAAACGTGTTTAGTTGTTCAAACTTTCCAAGAGAGTCCGAAATTCCGTACGCCATGCCGTTGATTTCGGAGAGCGAGGTCCGCACGCGTCGGTCGTCTGATTCGTCTGGCACAGATGGCACCAAAACCGTAGCATCGATAAGGCCAAGAACTCGTATATCGCGAAGAACCGCAAAGCCATTCTCCTGCTTGTCGCCCGGCCGTAGGCTGTTTATAGGGGTGTGCGTCTTGTCGTCCAGCGGCTTAATCACGAGTCGTTTGTTGCCTGAAAGGTTCAAGTAGCGCAGATCGGGGTTGAAAGCCCTACATCCATCATAAGTTTCCCCATCAAATACTTCAATGCATCTACTCACCAATTCCAGTCAAACGGATAATTGGCCATGTTATACTTCAGCACGTTACTCCCTACATCCAGTGACGTGAGTTTCTTGACTTTTCGGAGCTCCGCCGGCAACGTCTGCAACTTGTTCGCATTCAGGAACAGCACGTTCAGCTTCTGAAGTCGCTCCAGATCGTCCGCGGGGAAACTCGTAAGCCTATTTCCGCTCAAATACAGTTCCTCGAGCTGGGCAAACGTCTGCAACCTGAAAGACGGCATCTCGGAGATTTGGTTGAACGACAAGTTGAGGACGCGCAGGTCGCGCAGAACGGCTAGAGGATGGAAGACGTCGTCGAGGAGTTGGTTGTCCGCGAGCAAGAGTCGCTGAAGAGACAGTGCCAAAGGGAGAGGCCGCGCAGCAGCATTGCTAGCCCCAGTACCCGCACCCGCTCCACCGTCCGGCAGACCCGCTCCACTCCCCTTCCTCTCGCCATTACTCCCATTTGGAACAGGCGGATCGGGCCACACCTGGAGCAAATTCGAACTGCAGTTGATCTCCTGCAACGCTTCGCAATACCAGATTCCCACCGGCACCTCCCGCACATTATTATTCCGTATGTTTAACCGAATCAACTTCTGCAGCGCTCCAATCGAGTCCGGCAAACCCGCCAATTCGTTGTTGGTACAGCTTAGCGAGATAAGCGACGTGAGCGTGCCAAGGGAAGCAGGAAGAGATTTGATATTGTTGTAGTCGAGTCGAAGTATAGTAAGCTGCGTAAGCTGTCCAAAGACCGCCTCGTCCAGATTTGAGAGTTTGCCGTGGCTCAGATCGAGCGAAGAAAGGGCATAAGATTCCGAGCCGCTCAGCGTGAAACGCGTGATCGAGTTGAAGCTCGCCTCAAGGACGTTGAGCGTCCGGCCGATGGAAAGGTCGAGAACCAGGAACGAGTTGTGGTCCGCACGGAGGGTGACGAGACTCGGCGCACGTGCGATAACCGTGAGATCTGCAATAACGTTGCGCCTGCAGTCGACCCATTTGAGCTTTGTAAGCGAAGCGACCTGCGGTGGAAACGCCGTGATCTGGTTGCCCACTACAACCAAACGCTCGAGCACTGCAAGGTTCCCAATCCCTTCGGGCAGAGCGCTAATCGAATTGAAACTCATATCGAGATCTACCAAGCTCCGCATCGTGCACAGTACGGGTGGGACGACGTCCAATTTGTTGTTCGAAATGTTCAAGTAGCGCATCGTGTTGAGCCGGGCAAAGTACGCGGGGAGACCGGTCAGCCGGTTGTTCTGGAGTTTAATGGTTCGCAAATCAGGGATGTTATCTAGGCCGGCGTTCTCCAGGTCGACGATGCGGTTGCAGCTGAGGTCGAGCCAGTGGAGGCTTGTCGAATGCTGGACGCTCGCCGGGATTCGTTTCAGCGAGCACGTCGAGAGACGCAGCTCCCGCAGTTCGTCGCAGCCCTGAATAAAATCCAACGGGAGATCCACCAAGGGGTTCTTGCTGAGGTTGAGGAACGTGATCGTACTCGCATGTCGGTGCAACAGGATGGGTACAGTCTGCAGCCCTCGCCCAGTAAGATCCACGCGCTCGAAAGTATCAAACGACAACTCTTCTTCGTCGATCCCAGGGCCGCCCAGGTCCAAAGAACGATAAACGAACCGAAGTAGGAATCGAAGATCCTCCCCGCCGATAGTCTCCAGTTGATCAATGTCGTCGTACCCGGCTTGCTCGAGTCTCCGACGCATGATAAGCGCGGGTCGTTCGTGAGTTCCAAGCGCCCGTTCTTTCAGGTGGAGATTAGTGATAATGTTCACGAGGAACAAAATATAAGTACCTCGATTGCGTTCCCACAGATGCAACCTGTGTGACTCCCGCGGCAAATTCAACTTCCTTCCAAGCACATGCTGCATCTCCGACACCGTGGCGTGCAACGGACACGACACAACGTGATACGTCCCATCCGTCCGGTACACCCTCACGTTGAACTACCGACCGTTCTAATCAGATCCCAGTTTCCACAAAACGGAATTATACTTACACTCGTGGGCCAGTTTTTATTCACGGTGGCTTCGCTTCCGCGCGAGCCCATACCGCCAGGTCCTGGAGTGCCTGCTTCGCTTCTGAAGCCCATTCCTAGCGTAGGCGCATACGAACGCATACTGCCTGCGCTGTTCAATCTCCTATCTCCGCGACCCGACGCTCCGCCCCCATTCAAAACCTCGGCACCAACACGCCCTAGCGCACCACCAATAAGCGCCCCGTCTCCATTCATCCCAGACCCAGCGCTCCCAGGTGGCTTCCCGAACCTCATGTTATTGACACTCCCGGCGATACTGTCCGACCGTCCAGGGAGTGAGCTGCCCATCAGAGTAGCGGTGGATGGTGTGAGACCACCGTCCGATTCTGAGCTGTAGTCTTCATCTTTCGAACCAGTTCCATCCACTGCCCAAGACTCGGGCGCGGCCCAGTCGGAGCGAGGGAGTGTTGGGGAAGGGACGTTCCGCACTATTGTTCGAGAGGGTAAAAGAAAGGAGGACAAAGGTATTGTGGCGTTAATATTGTAATGAGTCGAGGAGGCGAATTTGTGGCCGGTGCGGAAAAAAATGGCAGAGCGACAGGCGACGGATGAGTTCAAGTAATCGATTAGTTTCAACAAACCTAACAATTAGTCAACGCCACTCACCAACGCCGCTTAATGGGCCAACGCCAGCAGTTGGAGACCCAGGCCGGTGGCCGTTGACTTGCAATGGCGGCTCCGGTATCTGCCTCGGCGCCACTGTGCTCCCAGTGCCTGCGCTCCTCGGACTAGCAGGGAACGCGCTCCCTGAAAACGGATCGGTGAAGAACGCCGCTGTCGGGCTCTGCACGCCAGTCACGCCCGTTGGCCCCACAATATTCATATGATGAGACATGTCGGACGAGTCTTCGTGCCACGGGGGATGTTGTGGACCAGGTCGCGCAATGATCCCGTCCATCTCGTCCAGGTTCGTGTCGAGTGTGAACTCGGCAACAGGTAGGGGTGGGACACCGGCAGCGCGTGCACGGGGTGTCTTCCGGTTCTTTTTTTGGATACTGAAGTTCGCGGGAGGGGAAGGCGGGAGTGCGGCAGAGGGGGAAGTGGATGGACCAGCAAGGGATAAAGTCGATTGCGAGTAAGCAGAGTGCAACTCTGCTACATTGTCAGACGAATGTTGCAGAGAAACCGAGGATTAGCGTACCGTCGTCTCCGCCAGAGGATCCAGGCCGAACGTTTGCCCGGCTGGCTTTCTTCTTCAACCGACTCAGCAGACTCTTTGATTTCTTCGTCGCGCTCGCGCTTGGCCCCGGCTCGCCGTGCCCGGCAGACGCGACTGGAGTTGGCATACCAAACTCGGACACCGCTGGGTCGCTCGACCTAGCAGACTTGAAGAGCGAGATAGAACCGACACTAGGTTGATGCTGCATCGTCCGCAGCGAGGTCTTGGAACCCAAGAAGCTTCGTTTCGCGGGTGGAGGCGAGGGCTGCGATGATTCATTATCAGCAACACCGGGGAAACCAAACCCTACTTACTGGTTCCAGTGACGCCTGTGTCGCCGGCTTGCTCTCGAGCCCGTCATCCAGCCATGGTGCGATGAGCGAACTATCCCCCGCGCTCTCCCCTGGATCTTGGCCCCACAAGTGGGTAATGTATCCGCTGTTGCCGTTGCCCCAGCGTTGCGCTTGTGCCATCGCGGTTGGTGTCGTCGTCGTTGTGGTCAGGCTCAAGGCATCCGTCCGGCGATGCCTGATTAGCGCCTATTTACCGTCCGACACTAGCGCCGACGACCAAATGAGATGATTCCAAGCCCGAATACTTGTCCTTAGAGGGGCAGGAGTTTTCCCTGACATGCTCCACACAAAGGAGAAACCTCTGGAGCATAAAACAAATAATCAGCAGTAAAATGAAAGGCCGTACCCAGGTTCGAACTGGGGTTGCGGGAAGACGATAGATATCAAAATCCCGAGTGCTAAACCACTACACTATACAGCCCTGTTTTCCTGGCCTGGTGTTGACTAATCGACCACCTGGTCAAACATGTCGATAAACTACATAACGCGCCGTTGCTTCCTTCCACTCAACCACGATGGCGAGCAAGGCGGAAGCGTTGCCGACGTCAGTGCCGACCGTGCGTCGCACAAAACCCGCTTGCGTTCTCAGACTCAACTCGTTCGCTGTCGTACTCATCAGCGCAGCCGCCTTCATTGTCTGGAACGTGAGCCATATTTCTCATTCGACTCGTTCGCGTTCTCTCCCGCTCCATGCGACGATCGATCTCTCGCGCTGCAAGTCACTCCACGAGAAACCTGGACCGCCGCGCAGCTTCTGGAGCCGGACTGTATCTGATCGCTTCGAACCTGGAACGCCGCCGACGTTGATTCAGAACGCGACAATCTGGACCGGAGGCGACGATGGATACGAAATTGTGTTGGGCGATATCTTCCTGGACAAGGGGATTATCAAAGCCGTTGGTCGTGTTCCGCCCGTACTGTTGGACAATGCTGGCTCCAAGTTGGTCACAAAGAACGTTGGCGGAGCGTGGGTCTCTCCTGGTATGTTCCTATCCTTGCACATTCGACGTTTGCTAATTGTTGTAGCCATCAATGATATGCACAGTCATCTAGGCGTTGACAGTGTCCCCGAACTTCGCGGTACGCCTTTCCCAATCCCTCATTCGTTAATCTTACATTTCGTCCCAGGCTCCGACGACACCAACTCGCTCAAAGCGCCCACGATGCCTTACCTCCGCTCCCTCGACGGCTTCAACACTCACGATGCGGCCTTTGCACTTTCTCGTAGCGGTGGCGTCGCCACGGCGCTCATTCTCCCCGGTAGCGCGGACAACATCGGCGGGCAAGCGTTCGTCGTCAAGATCCGCAAGACCAAAGAGGGAGGGCCGAGCTCGATGGTCCTTGAACCTCCGGCGACCTTGCATGTCAACGGCACACGTGGGGAAGAAGATGGCGTCAGGTGGAGACACATGAAGCATGCGGTGCGTCCTTGATCTTATTCGTGCCGGTACACATGCCGATTGACGTAGTGCGGCGAGAACCCTTCGAGGGTGTATAAGCAAACTCGCATGGACAGCATCTGGGAATTCCGCAAGGCGTATAATTCTGCCCGAGATGTGATGCGCAAACAGGACGAGTTTTGTGCGCGCGCGCGAGCTGGGACTGGTTAGTTCCATATGTTTGTGGGAACCAAGGCTGATCGGTTGATACAGTGGATTGGCCCAAGGAGAGTTTTCCGGAGGATTTGCATTTCGAGGCATTGGTAGATGTGTTGAGGGGACGTGTCAAGGTTAACATCCATTGTTACGAGGCCGGTGAGTAGTTTTTTTAGCACTGGGATTTCTTAATATTTATCTCGTTTAATAGTTGACTTTGACGGTATCGTTCGGGTACGTTTCGCCCACGTCGTTCCTGCATGCGATAACATTTTGCTTTCAGCTCACGAATGAGTTCCAATTCCCGATTGCGGCCTTCCACCATGCCCATGAAGCATACCTCGTCCCTGATTTGGTCAAGCGCGCGTGGGGCAAGGTTCCACCGGCAGTTGCGCTTTTCGCGACAAACGCGAGGTACGGGTCCTTGCACAAATGCGCTACTTTTGTTGATCTATTTTTAGGTACAAGCGTGAAGCGTATCGTGGCTCGGAGTTTGCGCCCAAGATCCTTAACAACCACGGACTCAAGGTCATTATGAAGGTGATTTTCTATAACTTGGAGGGTGAACACATCTTGACTCTGTTTTTCAGTCTGACCACCCGGTCCTCAACTCCCGATTCTTGCTCTACGAGGCTGCTCAAGCGCATTACTACGGCCTCCCTGCTGGCCCCGCATTGGCTGCTGTGATTACGACTCCTGCCGAGGTTGCTGGGTTTGGACATCGTCTGGGTCGAGTCAGGATCGGGTACGATGCTGGTACGTCGCGGCGATTAGCTACTCGCAAGTTTCAACTAACTGGTCATGTAGACATCGTCGTCTGGGACTCCCATCCCCTCACTCTCGGCGCTACCCCCCAACAACTCTACATCGACGGCATAGCCCAACTCTCAGACCCCGTCGTTGTTACCAAGCCAAGCACGTTCCAGCGCGTGCCGTCGGTTCCGGACTGGGACAATGCTGCCAAGGCTGCTGTCGAGTACGAAGGCCTCCCACCGCTCTTGCCCGGGAAGGCGAGCGATATTGTCGTTTTTGAGCGCGTTAGCGAGGTATGGAGCCATGAATCTGGCCAGTTGAAGCAGTCGAGCCTGGAGGATGATGGGGTGGTGGTTGTTACAAACGGAAAGATTACGTGCGTTGGTTCGTCGTCACGGTGCACTACTCCGCCACTCCTTGCGAGTGAGATGACCCGTGTGGTGGACCTCGCATATGGGACGCTCTCCCCCGGCTTGATTTCGTATGGTGCGCCGCTCGGATTGGAAGAAATCCAAGCCGAGGCGTCAACGAATGACGGGCGTGTGCCGGATCCCTTTGCTAAAGGTGGCGTTCCGAGGATCGCGGGTGGAGATGGACTGGTGGTGAATGCTGTTGATGGGTTGTCATTTGCTGGTCGCGACACTCTGTACGTTGAGTTTTCTGAGTACCAGGTGGAGATACTGACTGAAAGGGGACGATAGGCTAGCATACCGGGCTGGCGTGACGACTGCTGTGAGCGCGCCTGTGTCGAGGGGAATGTTCTCGGGTGCGAGTGCGGCGTTTAGGACGGGTGCGGTGCATAAACTGGAGAAAGGGGCAGTTATCAATGTGAGGCGTTTTGTTACCGGGCAGAATTGAATATTGAAGAGTCCGGTTGCAGCCGCTTGCTGCGCTGCACCTCTCCATTGGGCACGACGCTGGTGTTAGCGTTGCTACCCAGATTGCTACCCTGCGTAGGCTCTTGTTGAACAACGACCTCAAGGCCCGAGATTATGCTCAAATTAAGCGTGTTTTGGAGGTGCGTCCATCCTCTCCTCCCACTCTCTCTGCCTAATAGTACCGACTTAGGGTCAAGTCCCCCTCGTCATCACCGTCAACAAAGCAGATCATATGGCTACTCTGCTCGAACTCAAAGCCGAGGTTGAAGGCGTCACCGGCCGTGCACTCCGCGTGACCTTTGCAGGTGCAGCCGAAGCGCACATTCTTGCCCCTCAAATCGCCGCTGCAGGTGTTGGCGTAATTGTGATTCCTACGAGGCCGTTCCCCGCTACATGGGACCAGAAGCGCATGTGAGCTTGACCTTATCCATGAAGCTGGTAGACAGCTTATGGGGTTCGCAGTCTCCCTGGTCCGCCGTTGAGCAAGGACTCGTTGATTTCAGTGCTGGTCAAGGCGAACGTGACGGTGGGCGTGGGCGTTGTTGAGTCTTGGGAGGCGAGGAATGCACGATTTGATATTGCCTGGGTAAGTGATTTAGATCACAATTTCTGGGACGACGGATTGATGTATCGGGGTGGTATAGGCTGCGCTCGAGTCGGATGGAGATCTCGGAAAACACGATGCTCTTGCGTTGGGCACGACAAATCTGCAAAGGTGAGCAGCTTAAACTTCTCAGTTCTCGTATTGATGCCGTCGACTCCACCAGGCTTCTTGGGCTTGAAGATACCAACGCTGTGGGGGATCTTGTTGCGTTCCACGGAGGAAGCTGGTCCGACTTGTCGAGCAAGCCGGTGGCTGTGGTATCAGAGGCGCGCGCGAGGGTGGATGTGTTCTGAGGCAAGAAAAGGGGGGTACTGTTTTGACTTATTCATCGCTGTCACAAGTTATCGATAGTTAGAGAAAACAAGGGTGTCTTTCGCGAAATACCTGATTCGGCATCAACTGGAATTCAACAGCAACGGTGAAAGCGAATCTTGTATATATTACAACAAATATCGACATCAATAACCTTAAACTGCTGAGAGAACGGGTAAATTCGCCCCAGTGGTTGCGGCCGTCGCCTGGGCCTGAACAATCTGGACGTTTCGGCGTGGGCGCACACCTTTGAGAAGCTCGGCACGAGGGGTTGTGCGATCTGAAATGAATTGTTGAATCATGGGGAGGGACGCGCTCATGACTTTTGTAACGCGTGTCTCGGCTAGAACAGAAGAATTGAGTAAAATTACGGGAAATAAACACGGCTGAACATACGGGATTGGTGGATCCTCCCGTGTCTTCGGACGATTTGGGTATCAGAGGTATAGATAGGGTGGTTTTGGGGAAGTATCACCATCGAATTCTGTTCCGGGCCTTGCGTCGGTCAACTAATCTGACGTGAATATCGGGCACCAACCTGATGGTACCACTTTCGGATCTCATCTTCATATACTGGCGTCTTTGGCACATTATGCATTCCGCATACTTGGACCACCCCTTTCACCTTTTCTCGGACGCTCTGGACTGAAAAACATTATTAGTAATGCAGAAACTAAATAGCCAAAGCCAGCATACAGCGTTCACTTATCAGCTTGACCACGGAAATACACGCACTCCCGTGTGCGACGATCGTAACTTCCCGCGCATCAGACAGCCTAGGAACCATAAGCGAATGTAAAAATATAAGATCAAAAGGACTCACTCGGCCAGGTTGTCCCATGCGTTCAGAATCGCCTCTCTAGCTGTCTCTTCACGTTCTTTCAAAGTTGGAGCGTCCTGCGAACATAATTAGCATATAATATGCTTGGTGTTATCCATCGGCTTACTTCGCCCTTCACTACTATTGGATGCATGTTCAAATCGATAATACTGAAGTCCTGGGAGGTACACCATTTCAAGAAATCACTCGACGTATCAATCTACGTATACGTTAGCTCATGCGGTCATATTGGAAAACCAGGAGACGCACAATCCACGCATTTTCCATCTCAATGTTTAGTTGATTGAGCGACAAGATTTCGGCGCCTACGTTTCCAAAATCATGCACGAACATAACCAAAGTGTGTTGTTTGCTCAAGTTTCCGCTATCATTGGGATGGGAAATAAGTGACAAACCACATAAAATCTGACGCTGCGTACCTCACAAGAAGTTGCCCTT